TACATACACTCTGAGTACACACCCCTGAGTATTTTGTTGCTCTGCTGAAATAATAATAAGCAGTACATATTGAGCATCTTTTTGTGTGACAGGCACTGATTTTAGCCATTTTCTTTTTTTTTCTAGAAGGATGAAGATTTTAGGCACTTTTACTTTTTTCATTAATCCTCCAAACAACCCTAAAAAAATGGGGATTCTTATCTTCTGTATTAAGAGACTGAGCCTGAGAGAAGGCAAGTAACTTGCCCAAGATCATGCAGCAATTTTTTGCCAGAGCTGGGGATTCCAGTTCAGGATTGGCTGACTTCAGTGTTTCTTGTCCACTGTTAAAGCTTTGCACACATGCTGGGTGCTTCCAGGAAGGGAAGAGAAAGGCAGCTAGGGAGAGTGGGTAGGATGAATTCTAATGCCTTGTCCACTTTCCTCCAAGGCACCATCGCCATAGCTTCCCTGCCAACTGTCTTAAAAAGGAATGGCTCTGGCTGTCCAGGTTTCCTCCATAAATTGAAGCAGCATCTGGTCTTCGAAGAGAGCCAGGCATTCCAGGACCCCATCACCGAGAGTCAATGGCTCCTGGTTTGAGCGACCAGCTGGCGCCAACTCCTCTGGGAGTGTCTGTGGGCAAAGCCTGCACGGCAGTTATTCATTTGCCCAAATTAGGAGACCCAGGAAAATGGTTCTGTTCACAGGCCCTAGAGAAGCTCTGAGTCTCCTGTCTGCAGCCCTCTCTTTAGTGTTCCAGTAAGGAAGCTGTCTCCAGGTGACAGCCCGCCCCTATCAAGCCCTGACACCCATGAAATCCTGAAGAAACAAGGTGTGCTTCTCAGGCAGCCACTCTTTCAGGGAGAGAGGGGCACCTCTGCCTTTGTGTACCCCATGATCTTTCTCCAGAACCCCTAAATCCAGCCCCTGTTGAAAACAATTCTAAGTCGGTCATCAAAACTCATTGGTTCAAACACTAGATGTGACTTTATGCTCTTTAGCCCTCTTAGAATGAGTATGTGTGCACTTTGTTGTGGAGATGAAAACTGCTGGGTTGACGATGAGGTGCAGCCACTGCTGCTGCAGGTGTAGTGTAACATATGGAAGATTCTTCCTAAAATCCAAAACACTCTGGAGTCTGGCTGCAGGCCTCTGGTGTGGGGTCTGTGGTGGTTCTGTATGTTTCATAGTGCACCGCATTTGGGCTGGAAGGGCATCTCCTGCCCACCAAGCAGATGGTTTACTTTTAGATTCATGAAGAAAACCTTCTCAGGGCCTCCCTGGTGGTGCGAGGGATTAAATCTCAGAACTAAGCTATCTGCAGCCCCTGCTGCACAGAGTTCAGTCTCCAGCCAGGGAGCTACCCACATGGTGCACAGACCTCTTCTGTCTCGCCCGCTGCTTCCCTCAACAGTGTTTTTCAGTCTGTCTGCCTGTTCTGCTCCCCACTCTGTCTCTGGTGAATCCTTTCATACACACCCCCTCCTGCACCTCTGGCATACACCCCAGCTCTTATTTGCATAAATAAATAAATCTTTTTTTAAAAAATAAAGAAAGCCTTTCCAACCTGGGTGGTCAGACCTGGTGCCTGGAATTCCATCACTAAGGGTTCAATTTTTTTTTAATTGTAATTTTATTTAGTTATTTGCATAGAAGAACTGGGGTGTAGACCAGAAGTGCAGGGGGGGCGGGGATTCAGCAGAGACAGAGTGGGGAGCAGAACAGACAGATCTACTGAACTCCACTGCTGAGGGGAGCAGCAGGTGAGACAGGAGAGGTCTGCTGCGCCATGTATGGGTTAACTCTCTGGCCGGGGATCGAACTCAGCGCATAGCATCGATAGCACTGAGGCCGGGGTTCAATCTTTGCTGTCTTCTTTCAAAGGTGATGAAACCCCAGGTCACTTGGCCCTGCATGTGGTTAGGTCTTTTCCGTGTTTCCTCTGTGGGAGAAGGCAGCTTGAGACAAGCAGGTACTTGCCCTGGCCTGGCTCACCCCTCTCTGCTCCTCAGTGCGGGGATCACAGTCCTCTGTGGCCCTTAAGTTACAAACCGCTCCTTTACAGGGCCCATTTAGGGCAGTCTGCGTCTGGATCAGGGGGGAGCTGGGACACATTGGCTCCCCAGCTCTCCAGGAAGGCCTGACCCGGTGGCACCCAAGGTGGGATGAGTCCCCTCCCTCCCTCCCTTCCTTCCTTCCTCTCTCCCTTTCTTGCTCTTTCTTTTCTTTTCTTTTTTCCCTAAAGCTTCATCCATTTAATGCATACAAGAACTGGGGTACAGGCCTGAGGTTGGGGTGGGTGAGAGGATTCACCAGAGACAAAGCAGGGAGCAGAACAGGCAGACAGACCAAAGTACACTGCTGAGGGAGCAGCGGGCGAGCCACGAGAGGTCTGCCGCGCCGTGTGGGTAGCTCCCTGGACGCAACCCACGAAGCTGTGCGTAGCCTCTGTGTGCCAGTGCGAGGGCTGAGAGCCCAGGACGACTGAGGTCGTGCCTCTCCCATTTTTAGGGGTTCCCGTTATTTACAAAATCAGAAGTGCCAAAACGGGCTTCCCGACCCTCAGGTCAGTTTAAAGCTGCGCGTGGACGGCGCGGTCGGCCGGGCGGAACGTGCCTGGCCCGCGGGGCTGTTCGCGGGTGACGCTGGGGCCGCGCGGCGGGCGGCTGGAGCGCCCTCTGCCGGACACGGCCGCACCGGCCGCCGCGAGCCGCGGGGCACTCACCCCGCCCCCTGGTGGCGGCGGCGGGAACCGCGGGGGCGCGCGGGCGCCGGGCTCCGGCCCGCCCCGCCCGAGCCTCCGGGCGGCCGAGGCAGCAAAGGGTTAACCTGTCAGCCGCGCGGTGTTAAACAGGTGTCAAAGGCGCCCCATATATCTGCAGATTGAAATCAAATTCTTTGCCGTATAAAAAGATAAATTACCCAGGCGCTGCCGCGCGTCCCACTCATCACGCCAGCGCCAGACGGCAAGCAATTTTTTTTTTTAATGTGCTAACGACCTAATCAAGCAATCAAGCCCGGGAAGATTGCGAGTGACCGGGGCAGCCATCTGCCGCGAGCCCCGCATTCATTTCCCGCGCCCCGCGCCGGGCGGGGGCCGGGGGGGGGGGCTGCAGGGGGGGGAGAGGGGAAAAAATCCTAAACAAATTAACACCCAATTTTCCCCGTCTAATTAGTTAAATGAGAAGCGCTGGGGTCCCCCGGGAGGGGCGGCCCGCGCCCCGCGGCCTCCCCAGCATTAATTAGCGCGGGTCAATGCCGGGCTCCCCGGAGAGCGGCCGCTTTAATTTCCCGTGATATTTCAGTGCCTGAGGCCCATCGATTCAAACTGAAATTAACTTATTTTTCAATCAGCCCAGGGCTGCCCCTGGGGGTGACTCTTCTTTTGCCGCCTCCTGAATAGAGCCCGAGCAATTTTTCATCAAAAGCTGAAGCCGCCGCCGCCGGGGCGGGGGCCCTGCCCGAGTGCAGGGAATGGAAATCGCAGCGGAAACTAATAGATTTCCACGAGCCCGCCTCTCCCCAACCCGCCACCCCCACTTCCCAGGGCGCCGGGGGTCCAGCCGCCCCCCCCACCCCCCCGCAGGATCCCGACGCCGCAAGGTGGAGGCCGGCGGGGGGTCCTTCCCGGGCCTCCATTTCCTCCGGGCTCGCCCCCCACCCCCGCCCAGGGGCAGCGCTGACCCTCCTCGGGAGACTCTGGAAGGTGCTTGGGGGACCCCGAAGTCTGGCTTCCGCCAAGCGTGGCTGGGACCAAGGGATCTCCCTAGAGTGCCCGACTGGCGGGCCCTGGGTACCTCCCCCAGGACACCCCTTGTTCTTTCAGACCTTGCACCTGTCAGCTTTGGGGCCTTAAAACATGTCCCCCACCACACAGTCCCCCCACACCCATTGGCTCCTCACACCACTGGGAGTTTCATCTTCCTTGCTTGGCTGAGGCGGGGCTGCTTGGCGCCCCCAGATAGCATTCAGGGTGAGGGAGCTGGTGGAGGACACTGTGATGGCTGCTCCCTGGGGGCCGCCTGGAAGGGAGGTTGACTCAGGCCTGGCAGGGTGCCCTACCGGGTGTTGTGGAAGTATCTCCCAGGCTTCCTGTTACCCCAAGATCATCTGTGCCCTGGCTCCCTGGGTCCACGGGCACCCCACGGCAAGAGACGCGGCTACTCTAGCCCCTGAAAGGAATCTGGCCTTCTGCAAGTCAGAAAAGGGTTTCTGTGTTGACGCTGGGCTGTGACACTTTCAAGAGAGCCAGCCCTGAGAACCATGTGGTGCTGTCCACGTGTGTGTGCGCACACACACACACACACACACACACACACCCCTGCCCCAGGAGGGGTCCCTACATTGCTCTAGAACTGCTTTGATTAAAAAAAAAAAAACCAGACCTATTCCCCCCATTGCATTCTCACCAGACTCGGTGTCCCCATTCTGAACACCCCTGAAACTGGAGGAAGCTCACCCCAGGGTGGCTGAGCTTAGGTCGGGACTTGGCTGTATAAACTGGCTGGAGAACCCAGCAGTCCCCAGGGGATGGGGCTACTGGCCATTGTTGAAAGGAAAGCAGTAGCCCCCAAATGGAGGCGTTTGTGCTAAGCCCACCAGGACTTGATACCTAACCTCGCTGCCTTTCAACCTCGCCCGGGGACGTAGTCTTAGCTGGTCAGTATGGAAATTTCTGGTCAGAGGGGATTTTTCCATTCCGCAAAGGAAGACGAGATAACCTGCCTTCCACAGGGCTTGCCCCATCCCCACAGGTAGGTTACCTCACCTTGAAACCAGGCCCTCAGCCCTCCTCCTGCTCTTTCTGCCTGCAAAAAGCTTACATTTTGTGGCCCTCTTGTCCTACTAGATGGGAAGCTGCCCGATTCATCAGAGTTTCAGAAAGTCGATTAGCTCTTTAAAATGAATTCAGTCAGCTATGGTTATTTAACCCCATGGGGGTGGGCCTTAACTCCAGGCAGCAGGGGCTGAGGGCCTGGCACAGAGCAAGCGACTGACCTGTTGGCCTGCACTTGCAGGTCTGGTTCCAGAACCGCCGAGCCAAATGGAGGAAGCGGGAGAAATGCTGGGGCCGGAGCAGCGTCATGGCGGAGTACGGGCTATACGGGGCCATGGTGCGGCACTCCATCCCCCTGCCCGAGTCCATCCTCAAATCTGCCAAGGATGGCATCATGGACTCCTGCGCCCCGTGGCTACTGGGTAAGAGCCCACACCCTTCTTGGGACCCGCCCCACGTGAGGACAGTGGGCTCCCAGAGGAGAAAGCTCCAGAAGGATGGGGGGCTGGCCACAGCAGCCTAGCAGGAGAGAGCCCCTCCAAGCAGACTGGGGTCTCCTCGGGGGCCTCCAAAGGCAAGCTTGGCCTAGGACCCTGAGTCTGTCCCTTGCACCCACACACTAGGTGTCTAGGACTCTCATCCCGGTGGGTTCTTTGGTCTGTGAGAAGGCTGTGGCTTGTTCTAGAGTCTAGATCTCTTCCTTTAGCTGGAGATGGGTTTGTGGTCATTAAAAAAGCCCCCCTTGGGGACTGAGGACACCCTAAGTCCCTTTGGCTACTATTCCGGCTTTGCCCAAAGGGCTTCTTCCCTCTAAATCTCTCCCCCCTGCCACCTTCCTCACCTCCACCCTCACCCCTGCCCTGCCGTCTGGTAGTAGTGCCAGCTGACCTTGGGGTTTAAGATCCGGACTCCTAGGAGGCAGGGAGGGGGGCGTGCTTGCTGTGTTTGGGAAGGGGTAGAACAGGCTGCCGGTGGGCATCGCGGGCATGGCTAGGCGAAGCCCCCCGCAGGGCTGGTGCGGCCCCTTCCCCGCCTGCCTCCCGCTCCCCTGCCCCGGGACTCGCGCGACTGCGGCGTGTGAAGCAAGGCTTTCTACTGTCCTTAATTCTGGCCTCTCTCTATCTTTGCTGTTTTCAGTTCAAGATGGCTTTCCCAGGCGCTTTTCTAAACCCGAATACCAACAATTCTTTTTAGGGATGCACAAAAAGTCGCTGGAGGCAGCAGCTGAGTCGGGAAGGAAACCCGAGGTGGAGCGCCAGGCCCTGCCCAAGCTCGACAAGATGGAGCAGGAGGAGCGGGGCCCCGACCCTCCCGCAGCCATGTCCCAGGAGGAACTGAGGGAGAACAGCATTGCAGCCCTCCGAGCCAGAGCTCAGGAGCACAGCACCAAAGTGCTCGGGACTGTGTCCGGGCCTGACAGCCTGGCCCGGAGCGCCGAGGAGCCAGCGGAGGAGGGGGCCGTGGAGGAGGACAGGCCGCCGGAGAAGCTGAGTCCAGCGCAGCTGGAGGACATGGCTTAGGTCGCGGGCGAGCCGTCACTGGAGCCCCAGGACTCTGTTCTCCGCGGGGCCTGTGGTACCGAAGGTTCTCTGAGGCCCAGGCCTGGCCTCTGCCACTCTCCCCCTGCCCCACAGGCCCTGCAGGACCCCCCGGTGACTTCAGGCACAACTCAGTTCCAGCCGAGGCTGTGGGCCTTGCTGGGACAGACATGCCCTACCTAGTGTCGATCTCTGCAGTCACCTCCTTATCCCGAAGTCCCTGCCTCAGAAGCCTTCTTGCTACCCCAAGCCACCTCCTCAAGCTGCTTTCGCGCAATACCTGGGAAATTCTCACTGCCCTGAGCCACCCCTTCCCTTACTCTGTTCTCCTGCTCTAAGCGTCCCCTTCCCTGCGCTCTACCCCCATGGATCCTGCTGCCCTACATGCCTGCTGCCAACATGCCTGCCTGTCAGGGACGGAGGACCTGTGCTCCGCTGCCAGAGTCCTGAGCGCCCCAGTCAGCAAAACCCCCTCAGCCTGTTCCTTCCCTCATCATCTGGGCCTCTGCCCTACAGGCAGGTACAACCTCTGCCCACCCCATCAGTGGGGCCCAGATTCCAGATTCAACTTGAGAAGAGTCAGCCTGGGCCCCTCGGTCATCCTCCATCTCATACCTTCCAAGGTCACTCCAGGAACCCACCCTCTTCACACCCAGCCTGCCCATGGCTCCTCCCAGCACAGGTGCTCCCCTGCATGTGGTGACGTCCAGTAACGTGGTGAGTCCAGGCCCGCTGTCTGCTGCCAGGCACATTCTCAGCCTTGCTCTGGCCCACTGCACATCTCGGGAGGGCAGACCCTTACCCACGGCCCTTGGGCCTGTGTCCTAATACATCCTGACTCCTCTGGTATGCTGCCCATCAGGTATTCTTCCCCAGAGCTTCTTGCAAATTACTGGTTCGCATGTGCCCTGCTTTGGAGCACCCAACCCAGCTGTCATGTGAATACCTAGGAAGCCACAGACCTTAATGCAACTTGATCCAAGCCAAGCCTGGAGCGGGCCTGGGGCTGTATATATTCATCAAGGTTGGTCACAAGAAGGGCATGAGAAAGGACTGGAAGGAGAGCAAGCCAGTGTGAGGCCCAAATTGAGTACAGGCACACCCCCATGCGAGGTGCCCGCCACGGCGCATGTCCGCTTGTAAGACTGACACAGCGGCCATGTAGGAATAAGGGGCTTCTCCTGTCTGCTAACGGGAGGGTTGTTCATACTGGTGGCCTCTCTGCAGCTGCCTCTTCTATCCCCAGGCCAGGCCCTGGACTCCCTCACCCCCTCTCCTCTGCCATCCCACCCACCTTGGCAGGGAAAGCGAAGCAAGAGAAAGGCCTGGGGTAGCTAGCTGGGATTTTAATTCCTTATCAAAAGTTGATTTCTTCTTCATTCATTCATGGAACGTCTCCCCCGCCCCCACTCCAGTTCTTCTTGTCTTTGTCCCTGTTGGTTTAAAGTGTTAGACTGTAGCCCCTGGCGTGTAAATAATGTACATAGAGTGAGAAGACAGAACTTGATATGGAGGTGTTTGAAATATGGAGCTGTAATAACTTCTAGGTATTCTCAGCCTGTGATTTCTGTGCCATTTTCTGTAAAGACACAAGTAAGAATAAAATTGATGTAAAAACAGCAGAGGCGGGATCCCGGAATCCTCCGTGGGTGAGGATGGGGTGTGTGTTTGTGTGTGTGTGTGTGTGTGTGTGTAGAAGAGTAAATCCGGGGCCTCCCCGGTGGCACAGCAGTTGAGCGCAGCGCTGCGAAGCTGTCCGCAGCCTCTGCAGCACTGGTTCAATTCCCTGCCAGCCAGGGAGAACCCCACATGGCGCAGCAGACCTCTCCTGCTGCCCACTGCTCCCCTCAGCAGTGGATTTCGTCAGTCTGCCTGTTCTCTTCCCTGCTCTGGCTCTGGTGAATCCTCTCACCCTCCTACGCTTCTGACCTGTACCCCAGTTCTTACATAAAATAAATAAATAAATCTTTCAAAAAAAAAAAGAAAGAAAAGTAAATCCATGGAATCACTTTTAGGTCAAATTTACTCGATTCCTCTTTTAAGCTACTCCACCTGCAGAGACACGGTGCTCTGCTGTTTGCCACTGAACTGGTGTTTACCACCTCCCCATGACATGTATCACTGTGATACAGGACCCTCCTCCCTCGCAGGCACCACAAAATATCCAAGCCATTGAGCCCTAACTTATTACCTCGCCACCCTCCTGCTCCCCAACAATAGATTGCATTTACCTTTCCTCTGGTACTTCCTTATAAACAACTCTATTTTCCTTCACACTTGGGGCAAAGCCCACAGCCACCGCAGGCCCCCAAGAATTTGACTCCTTTCTTTTGTTTACATATGCCCACTGTGTATTTTTTTTTAAAGATTTATTTATTTATGCAGACAAGAATGGGGCACAGGCCAGAGGTGTGGGGCGGGTAAGAGGATTCACCAGAGATGGAGCGGGGAACAGGACAGGCAGACTGACAAAATCCACTGCTGAGGGGAGCAGCAGGCAAGCAGGAGAGGTCTGTTGTGCCATGTGGGTCACCTCACTGGCTGGGGATCGAACTTATGCTGCAGTGGCTGCTGATAGCTTCATAGTGCTGATGCTACACCAGGGAGGCCCCCCACTGTGTATCTTACCTACAACTCAAACACAACAGCAGGGCCTGGAAAAGGCAGCAGAATCGGGAACTGGAAGTTGCCAAACCTCTGTTAAACCCCCTCACAGGAGGAGAAAATGAGACATGTGGAGGAGCTGCTGTGATTGCTCTAGGACAGCAGGACCCACAGATTTAGGATGTGTTGGATGGAATTACAAGATGGGGCGGGGCAGGTGAGATAGATTATATTTGAGCTTTTGGCTCAAGAAATCTTCTAAGATTATTTCAAGTCGGCTCAGCTGTAGACGCTCCTCTCCCGGGAGATTATTCTGGCAGCCTGTCATCACAGGGGAATGGTGAGTGCTTGGAAGTCCCTGTACCCTGGGTTGGGCCCAGGTATAGTGCTCTTTGCCCCAGAGCCTGGGGAGCACAGGTGGGCCAGCCTCCCCACCCCCACCCCACACTGTGGCAAAGGGAAAGATGCAAGAGCCTCATTTGAAGTCGGCACAGGATGCCTCCCAACCTCCCTGAGCACATCGGGTACCTCGGTCTAGGAAAGGCCTCTGTGCTGTACCCAACCCCAACATTCCAGAAAATACCCATCACTCACGCTTCAAGTCCCCCTCCTCTCTGGAAAGCCGTTCACCCCCGTGTGTAACCTCTGTTTCCTCACAGCTCTCCTGACGACCCTCTGTTGTCGCAGTTCATGCTGTAATTTTCCCCACGAGGCTGACTTCTTCAAGGGTGGGCACCGTGTCTTATTCATCTTTTTTTTTTTTTTTAATATTTATTTATTTATTTATACAAGCACTGGGTACAGTCAGAAGCACGGGAGGGTGAGAGAATTCACCAGAGCCAGAGCGGGGAGCAGAGCAGGCAGAAGGACCGAAGTACACTGCTGAGGGGAGCAGCAGGCGGCAGGAGAGGTCTGCGCACCATGTGGGACCCTCCTCCGGTGGCCGGGGAGCAGCCAGGGATCGAACCGGCGCTGCAGAGGCCGCGGGCAGCTTCGCAACCCAGCGCTCAACCGCTGCGCCATCGGGGAGGCCCTTATTCATCTTTTATCCTCCGGACCCATCACAGGGCCTGACACTCCATCTATTGTTGAATGAATGAATGTCCTTCCTCTAACTCATCCACTGAGTCGATAATTTAAAGATATTTATTGAGCATCTGTGTACCAGGCTGTGGGCAAGGTATTGGGGAGAGAGTGGTGGACAGCGACCTCTTCAGAGGGAAAGACAAACAGAATTCAAGTATCACATAAATAAAATGTGAAGTTGTAGCTGCCCCGAGGCCATACAGGTGTAATAAACGGGGCCGTGACAGCATATCCATGGGGCTCAGGTCAAACCAAAGGGTTTGGGTCAAAGAGTCTGCGCCTCTGTCCTGTATGCTCAGTTGGAATAAGACACCCGCACGACAGCCCCTGAGGGCTGTGAGGGTGCAGCGAGGACCCTGCAAAGGCATCACCTGAGCACATGGAAGGGTGGCTGCCCCGGGACAAGCCGCTCGAGCTGGGGTGTGGGGTGTCTTTGCAGCTGCCCCACCTTCAGTTAGATCTGAAGAACAGCTGGGACACTCAAAGTTTCAGGAGGTGTCAGAAATCCTCCTGGACGACCGCCCCAGGGAGTCTACCTGCAGCTTTCTGCAGAGGCACATGGAGCTAGGTCTAAGGGGAGTCCAGGAGGGGAGAGGCCCGGGATGCCAACGCGAAGGGAAGAATGTGGACAGAAGAGGAAGGGCCTGGATAGCCAGGGATAGAACAAAGGAAGTGACACTCACTGACCACACCCAGAAGGACTTCTCTCTAGACACTGAGGATCCCGAAACCCAGAACCTGGAAGGGGGTTTCCCCCAGGATCCTGAAGCCCAACAGGCCACAGAGAGATGACTCCGTGCACCAAGAAGAGCAAGAGAGTGATAAAAAGACCAGAGGGGGGCCTCCCTGGTGGCACAAGGGGTTAAGATGCAACCTATGAAGATATCCGCAGCCTCTGCAGCATGAATTTGATCCCCAGCCGGCCAGGGAGCAACCCACATGGCACAGCAGGCCTCTCCTGACTTGCCCGCTGCTCCCCTCAGCAGTGTATTTTAGTCAATCTGCCTGTTCTGCTCCCCACTCTGTCTCTGGTGAATCCTCTCACCGCCCCCCAACACCTCTGGCCTGTACCCCAGCTCTTGTATGCATAAATAAATAAATCTTTAAAAACAAAAAAAAGAGCAGAGGGGCTGATTTATGAGGGCTGCCTGTAGCTGCTGAGCTGGCCTGGTGGGGACAGATGAGAAGGGGTCTGGCTCGTTGTGGGGACAGTAGCAAGTGGGGGTGACAGCCGCTCCTGAGGCCTAGTCCTGGGGCCAGGTAGCAAGGCGGGTAATGGTCTGAGGGCTTTC